AGTTTCTGTAAACTGGCTTTAACATCATCTGCGTAGAGAGCCAAAATGTCTCTTACATATGCGCCACTAGATTTTGGTATTTATTTACAGCCCAAATATTTCTGCCTGGTGCCATATGCACACAAATAAAGCAGATATGGCACATGAGTCTCAAGTTAATGTTCAATACAATTGTATACATCAATAACCTGCAAACTCTAGTGATTTCCACTATTTTAAATATGTGTTGGCTGTGTAGCAATCTTCCCACAAACACTGCACTGCAAAATACCTACCCTGAATGTTCCTACATTATTGTAAACCATGTATCGAATACATGTGAAGATGAATGCTTGTGATAATTTCTATGTTAAACTTCAGGAGTGTATCATTTATAATTTTGTTTTTGACTTTTCAGAAATCTTTTCTCTGGCAATAGGAGAAGACCAGTTTGATTCCGGATCTAAAGTCATACTAGATCTGCTGCAATATCCCAAATTAAACAAACAGCTGTCGTATGTTTTGTTGGACATTGCTTTGTTAGAACTCTTTCCAGAGCTAGAAGTAAGTTAACACTGCGTAATTCTCTGCAATATATACAAGCGTTTCAGGTTTTACCATATACATGCACTGTATGCCCAGGTCATACTCGGTTGTATTCAACAATGTACTGTGATATCATTTTTTCTATTCTGGTCTGTTGCTTGTAAAAGCACTGAATAAACTATTGTTGTTGTGTACTCAAATGTTGCTTCAATTTGAATTATTGATTGGATCTACATTTTTCATCAACATCTATAACCGAGGAAAAAATATAACAACTTAGCAACGACAAATTATAAATGTTCACTACTGCAAATTAGTTAAGTTTTTTAAGATACTTATTTATTTTTTTGTAGGAAAGAACAGCAGTGAACCTACAAATATGAATATTCACAACATTTCAAGAGGCTGCAATAAGAATACATTGTAATATGTTATGATTTGGGATTTAATTGTTTCATATCTATCCTAATAGCTGTTGAGACAGTTGCTATCTGTACACGATGTATTACATAGTACAAGATATCTGATCACACTATTTAGCTATGTTTGTAAAAAGGTCCTACGTATGTGTTCAAAGAATCACCATGTTCGGAAATTTGTGTTGCATCTTTGATTGTTGGTTGACACTAGTGTGTAGTATGTGATAGAAAGGGGTTCACTTCACTGCAAATACTATGACAATTATCTCTCAATAAAGTATGACTACAGGCTGGAGAAGATGTTCATGAGAACAAAGTATACAATGGAGTGTTGTAGTCTGTCTATACAGTTGCTGTGATTCATTTGAATATATTGTTGTAGTAGGTATCACTTGTCAATCATTTTTTTTTTTAGTTTTAAAGGAAAAGTCAAGGCTAACAACATACTAAAAATTTAAGAAAATGCAATTTATAGTTTATTTATATCACTTTTTATCAGTTCATGTAGTCCATCATCTTGATTCTTCAGCAAAGGATTATGGGTAAAGTATGACATCATATCCACTGACTGTTGATTTCATCTGGGAGCTTTATGTTACTTGCCTTGACTTCCCTTTTAATGTTACAGTTACCAACTACAGCATTTATGTATCAAATTTTTAATCATTTTTTAGTTTGTCATTGACAAAACAATAATGGAAGACATCAAATGAATTTTACTTTTTGTCTCCTATGTGCAAAGCACACAATGAGAGTCTTTGCAGTTAGTGTGTCTGCCTGTTCCACTGATATCTCAATAAGCATACCCGGTATGTTGGTTTTTTGATGAAACTTGATGCATATATGTTCCCGGCTAATGTGCAGATTGAAAAATATTAGATTTGCATAATTAGTCATAATTGTTTGACTTTTTCATCAATATCTCAAGTTCCAATCACATTTCAATGAAACTTGATACATTGAGTATACCTTAAGTTATTAGTTTTACATTGTGCATATTCATTACCTGATTTGCATAATAATTAGTAATTTTTCAATATACTTATCATCTTAATTGCCTAATTTGCATAATAATTTACTTTTCGGCTTTTCATCAATTATTTAAGATATAATCATCATATTATAATGAATCCTGGTACATATGTGCCCTGAAACAACACACAGATCTAATTAGTTCGAGGTTGAAATTTATGCATAATAATTTGTTTCATTAAAATTTGGCATACAAGTGTCTGGGAACAATGCATTAGTTTTGGATTGAAATCTGAGTATATTAATTGCCGAATTTGAACAATGTGTATTTCATTGAAAATTGCTGGGATAATCCACAGAAGGATGTGATTAATTTAATAATGGAAAACATGCATATTGATTATTTTATTATCATTAGCCAATTTCTGGTACATCTCAAAAAATCTGGTTTAAATTGAACTTGTGATAGAAGTGCTCTGAAATAAATTAGACTGAAACCACAGATGTTAAATCAAATGTATTTTCTGTAAGTATTATAAACTTCAAGGTAGATCACATTGTTTTCATGTTGTACATCTCAAATAGCAGATAAATATTAGTTGTTAAGCATCTTGTTTGGAAGGCTAATTAATGTTTAATATGTCTCCAATACTCTCAACAGAATCACCAGATATGTGAAGAAGTATTTGTGTGTGTGAAATAGTTTATAACTGAATTTATGTTAACAAAGTGTATATACTGCAAGTGCAATAATAGTCAACTATTTCAGTTGGTTTTCTTGATTTGGATGTTTGTGTACTAATGGGAATCTTTAACCCTTGATAGCCAAACTGTCTTTGTATTTGTAAACGTTTTTGATATGCATGGAAAATTATGTTTACTTGGTTTGAAATTTACAAAGAAAGATGTGCAAAGTGTTGCATCAACTGTTTGATGTGAAAAATGATGGCAGGGTTAAAGGCTCCCAGCAGGGTTTATGATTTATTTATTTAAAGAATACATTTAAGACATAGCTTTACTTTTAGAACTATTTCTGTCAAGGTACAAGTCTGCATTCATATTTATTTTTCAAATACATATAGGTAAATGAATAAATTGTGTAGTTTCCAACATCAATACAAGTTCTGTAGCTGTGATTCATCTTTAGGAAAATAGAAAGCACGCATTTTAAACTCTGCTACAAATGTAGAGCTGACGGGAAAGTTACCAGATGGCCCATGTAGTAAGACCAGAAAAGTGTACATTTTGGCCACAGAATGAAAGAGCACCATTCCAAGTTTAATCCAAGAACATGACAATCAACAAATATGGTTGAGATAAGAGATATTCAGAACACCTTACAGAGAAATTAATTCCACCATGTGTATTGGTGCACCTGTGCTTGTTGATTGAAATGGATGGGTCATTCACTGTGAAAACCATGAATAACATACAGAATTTTATTCACATCTTTCATTCATAAAAGTTCTCACAAAGTCCTAAACTCAGTAGTGTGAGAAAAGAGTAACCACTCGCTGAACTTCTAGTTATGATGCTGTATCCAGTCCACATTACAAAACATAGTAGCAAATTTCCCTCTAGTTTTCTCTAAAAACAGTACTGCAATTATTACCATGTATAAATAAAGTGCAGATATTTTACTAATTGATTGCTGAATTATTATTTGGAGAATAAAAAAAGACAAGTCTTGAAGTGAATGATTCCCTGTTAAACAAAACAGATATGAGTCAGCCACTTTGGATCAGAACATGAAACAAATAACATGTCTGATGTATTTGTGAAATAAGATTGCGATCAGTCCGTCAGATGTGGCTCAAGAACAGCTTTTGCAGCTGACCTGGAAAGAAATTATTGATGTATAATGTACATGTAAGTTTGAACATGATCGGTCAAGGTATGTAGGAGATACAGCTCCGAAACCACATTTATTAAAACAAAATGGTCACAAGCTGAACATTTTGAATCTGACCTGAAAAGGTCCAATAACATCCAATGTATGTACCAAGTTTGAACAAAATCCATTCATACATAACAAAGATCTGCTTCTGGAAAGGCAGAAATTCTTAAAGGGCCTTGACCATCGCACATATGCAACATTTGTGTTAATATACGCTGAACTTCCCACAATCCAATGCATTCTTCTAATGGAAATCACAAGTAGGGTTTTTGACCTGGGTGTGATTTGCACTAATTACTGTCGGTAACCATTCAAATTAAAGCATGGCAATGTCTCAGTTTGTACTCGTTGATCTGCACAACAATCAAAGTTACCATCTTTGTTTATACGAGACCCATATCTCATGCATGCATAGCGGGACAACAGTCGCCATTTGTATCCCAAGATGTATGTGTGAATTTGAATGTGATGGGCTCAGGCATGTCCAAGATTCCACCACAGAGGCCCATCCATAAGTCGCTGTTTTCGGACTAAAAAGACCAACTACTATGTATTATTCAAGCTTGGGTATCTGGTATTATCCAACACTTCATGTGATATATGTACCGTAAATACCAAAATGTCAAGCACTTTTAAATTGTCAGATTTTTAAATTACAAAATTATATTGAAATTTCCATCAAAACACATTCATTTGCAATATTCATGACCTGAAAAAACATTACGAATACCGTTAGCAGAAGACTTGGTAAAATGTATTTCATTTGTTATCATGAAAGCTATTAAAACTCCATTGAGTACTTGTTTTGCTTTCTAAAAGTGCTAATCACCTGTTTAAAATCAGTGAGATCAATGCTAACAGGTCATACTTCATTGTCAATAACAAAGTTTATTCCAGGATGCATTCTTTACAATCTCTGAATATGTCAGTAGTACCGTAACATGTGGTATTTTGATTGGTTAATGACAAGGTAGGTAAACTCGTCTTCTGTCCAGTTAGTTCAACGGTTTCTGTTTTCATTAAAGTAAAGTCAAAATTGGAGTCAAACCATTAGTCCAAGAAGACAAATCTGAGGTGGACAAAAATTTAAAGAACAGCATAATTATAGGTGGTTGAATTTTTAAAGTGAAGTTTCAGAGTTTTTACGGTAATAGTTTAATCAAACCACAAAATAATGCAATAACTCGTCATCATCAGTATTGAAGCTAGTTCAACTTTATTAGAATTTATTTTACATTTAAATTAAACCAATTTCACTCAGTGTCTGCGACCTTTCTTTCCTTTGATCTTAATCTTTTTAACTTTTTTTACTAATTTAGGTAATGCTTTATTGCCTCCTTTATGTTTTTTCTTCTTTCCTCCTTGTTTCTTTCTGTCACTAGCTTCAGTCTCCTCAGAATGGATTAGTTGATTGGCAGCCTGAAAACATAAAAATTGAATATCAAAATAAGTTGGTGGAAGGAGCATGGCATGATCCATGAAAATGTACACTAGTCTGTGCACTGTTTTCCAAGCAATTTTAAAATGTTTCCACTATCGGGTACAGCGTCACTTTGGGAACATTTTGAAAAAACTTTTTTTTTCTTGAATTGCTATAACGTCATAAAATAGCACATTCCTCATGTGACTGTGGATTGACCAATCACAGAATTGTAACTGCTAACGCCCACCTTATTGAGATCTATTTTTGGCTTCTTTCTGATGATCTGATCAAATATGTTCATCTCCCTTGCTTTCTCTGCTTTCATGTTGCCAACATTTGACTCAAACTGAAAATGAACACATACATAATATTATATCTGTACATGGAATTGGGACTGCATTTTTTTTTTAAATAGCCACCAATCGGCCATTTTGAACTATCAGGCAAAATAAAATGATATGTGGCAAGGTCCCATTGAGTTCAATTTATTCACCAAATTTAAACCAAATGGTTCGTATCTGGGTCCGGGATAGTGAAAATGTGTGAATTTGATGCATTTTCAGCTTCAAAATGGTGGCATTCAGCAATCTTAACTGCAATTTTTGATCATTACAAATCCCAAGATCTTTCTCAAGTGAGATTAGATCAAGTGCCATATTGTGCCATTCTGTGATGTTAAAGTGCAACTATAGGACAGATTCCCATTATCAATTTTACAGTTGTTGAGGTGTAACTTCATTTGATATCGCCCAGCTTTCAAGCTCATTTATATCTCTATAGGAAAGGCCCATAGGGATTCACATCAATTCAAATGTGTACAGTTCTGATTCACAATTACACTTTGTTGTTGGCTCAAATATGACTGAAACCAGTGTAATGGTTGGTTGCAAAAAAAATATACTGTCATATTATACTAGTTGGCTTGGTGGTGAAAGAAAAGATGTAGGCCTTACCTTTCTTTTGTTGCCAAGATTTTTAGGTTCTTTTTCCTTTGGCTGTGAATGAGAAATTTGAAACTATGTGATTGATGAAACAATTTATTTATGCTATGAAAATTAAAACTGTACTGTTATACCCACCAGCTTGCTTTCAAATTTTCCAATTGATGCTGTTGAATGTTTTGCAATGTGAGCTGCTTTGTTGAGTTGAATTCTAGTAGGATTTTCAGTTGGAGTTAGTCCTACCCCAGGAACTGTAATCAAATTCAATATAATACTCAGTTTATCTTCTTGTAATATTGCAAGTAATAACATTGAATAAACGGCATGGTAAATACTATGTCAAATCAAACATGTACTGCATGTGCATATTGGTAA